TATTTTCTACATGTGTGCTGTATGTTGGGTGATTTTGGTGCCAATTTGGGCCATTTCATCTAACCTCTCTGTACCTTTCCTTTTATTAATATATTCCTACCATTTTTTGAAGAAAATCCCAACTAGCTTTATTGTTCCTCCACTCTGGTTTTCGTCATCTTGCACGCACTCTTTGACGTTGCCTTGCACCACATGCTCTTTTGCTCAACATTGCTAGCCTCTTTATCCTTCTCGCACTTTTCGTTTAACTCTTCTAGATAGCTCATCTTATTAGTGGAGCTAGCTCGTCGGCTTATTTGAACCAACACCACTGTTCCCCTTTCGGCTTTTGCTATTTCGTCCATTGTAACTATGCTGTCATATTGCCACGCCTACCGCTTTTGGTGATGGCTTCAGACAGATCGTATGCTGCTGCCCTTGCGTCATTTTTTGAAGAAAATCCCAACTAGCTTTGTTGTTCCTCCACTCTGGTTTTCGTCATCTTGCACACACTCTTTGACGTTGCCTTGCACCACGTGCTCTTTTGCTCAACATTGCTAGCCTCTTTATCCTTCTCGCACTTTTCGTTTAACTCTTCTAGATAGCTCATCTTATTAGTGGAGCTAGCTCGTCGGCTTATTTGAACCAACACCACTGTTCCCCTTTCGGCTTTTGCTATTTCGTCCATTGTAACTATGTTGTCATATTGCCACGCCTACTGCTTTTGGTGATGGCTCCAGACAGATCGTATGCTGCTGCCCTTGCAGGTGTCCATGCCTCAGGTGCTCCTAAATCATGTTCTTTTCCTTCTTCGTTTGAGTTGGCATAGGACATCAAGAAACTTGGTCGGAAGAATGGGGTCATTTTTTTTACGGAAGCTGAATGTAATCAGCTTGCCTTCTCCTGTCGTCTGAATTTGGTCGGGAAATTTCTTTATGACCATCTCAAAATAGAGCTTATGTACTTTGTTGGAGAGTGAAAAATTAGACTTTTAGATAGAAGATACATCCTTATTCAACTTAATAATGAAGAAGATTACACACGCGTATTTGCTAGAAGATTAATCTGGATTGATAACAAAGCAATGAAGATTTTGAAATGATCGATAGATTTTGACTCACAGACGGAACCACCAATCATTTCGGTTTGGATTCGTCTGCTTGGTCTGCAATTTCATTATTTTACTCAGAAAATATTGTACTCTATTGCTTCAGCTTATGGTAAGCAACTCAAAACGAACATTCTTACTTTTAATCCTTCTAGTCTCTCTGAAGCCAGAGTATTTGTTGAAAGGGATATCACTTCAATTGCTTCTAAGGAAATTTGGTTAGACATACAATACCATGGATATTGACAAAAGATTGTGATTGAGCCTTTCCCTTCGTATTGCTCGAATTGTCGTATGTTCGGTCACTCCATTTTTTAATGTCACCATCTACACCCACATCTTAGACCAAAGAAGCAAAGTGCTCATCCAGAGGTAGTGATTCCCCCTCCTCCTGGTCCGCTCCAAGTTATTGACACTATTGATTATCAGAAGTATATCCTCGCGGGTAATATGTAAACCATTCAGGCTCCACACAATGCTCATGATGTAAGTTCCCCGTCTATGAAACCTCCTTTCGTGGGGGCGGGAGAGACATTTCAGACTTCACCTGCCCTAAAACCTGTCATTGATGTAACAGGTGGCAATATTTCTATTGCAACAACTTACACCTGTCCGACTATCTTTGGACCAATCCACTGATCAAATGAGTCAATCTTCGGATGAGGAATGACAGGTTTATACATCTAGGAAGAAGAAGAAGAATGGAGGCCTATTACCAAACTTGATGGATGATACATTAGTTGTTTCAGGTAACGACAACAAACTTAACAATTTGTTAGCTGACTCCCGTCCTAGAACCAGAGAAAGAGGTAAGGCTAAATTAGATCTTTCGCATGCTAACTGAATCTGCGAGTGTTGGCAGACTATTGGCGTACACTTTTCTATGTCTACTTTTTAATCTTTTTGGGTATACATGTATTTTCTACGTGTGTGCTGCATGTCGGGTGGTTTTGGTGCCAATTTGGGCCATTTCATCTTACCTCTCTGTACCTTTCCTTTTATTAATATATTCCTCTTTGGGCTTTATATATATATATATATATATTAGAAAGCCCAAAAAGGCTAATATATTAACTAGAAAGAAAGATACAGACACAATGTGTGAGAGGGCCAAACATGACACCCTGCCCACGCAAAAACCACAAATGGTTCCAAAACTAGAAAATATAGGAAGGTCCATTAGAGACTTAAGGGAAATGCCTAAAAGTACCGAAATACATAATATCAGGTGGCTAGAGAGCCACCCAAATTGGTCTTGCATCTACCTCTAGTTCTAGGGAAGGAGCAAGCTAATAAGTTGGTAAGATGATTGTCATTGCCAATAGTAGCCAACATATCATCCAATATGTTCCCGAGTTGGAGTCGCCCTCCATTCTTCTTCTTCCTTCTAGAGTAGACCTGCCATTCCTCATCCGAAAATTGGCTCACCTGATCTTGGTCTAAAGTGTGTTGAAGATGTGCAGGTTGTTGAACATTAGAAACAACTACATGTTGTACCGGCTGATCTGTTATTTGATTAAAAGAGCCCTATTGAAGGAGTACTCTCGTGTGTCTTGACATGTAAGTCTTCTTCAATAACAGTGGATGGTATAATCACAACTAGGTCTGTAGTTGTAGTATGGTGTTCTTCATCAGGAACTGCGGTGTTGGAAATATGATCGGGTTGCATCTTCTCAACAGGGATGATATGTGGTTGATCTTTAGTGATATCCGGCCTTAGATGAGGTTGCAAACGATAGCAAATAGTTGAGCTGTGACCAAATATACTGCAATGAGAGCAATAAGGAGGGTGTAGTTCTATTTCACAATTTTGCCAATACCCGTTGTGAGTGGTTCCAATCTATATCTCATCCGGAGCTGATTGAGTGATATCCCTCTCAATTAATACACAAGCCACAGAGGGTCTGGTGACAGCAAACGTAGGACTATCAACCTTGAGAGGCTTACCGTAAACAGTTGCTAAGGAGTAGAGAATTTCCAAGTTGAGCATATGTAACTTTAACCCCGAAAACTTTATTCAAACTGGAAAGATAGGAGACTCTGTTTTGGATCAAAACCAACAGTCCACTTCAGAATTTTCATATAACGGTTGTCGAGTTGTCAATCTTGATAACTTTCCGAGAAAAGATGCAAGTGTAATCGACATCGTGAGACAACTGATTTAGTATGTGTTGACCGTCAAGTAAACCAATATTCCAACTGCCCAACAACTTCATAGCATCAAATTCTTTTTGAGTGATCTCAAGTTTTGGGTGATCATAAAGAAAATTTTCCACTTGAGCCACACCACGAAGATGCTAGAGTATTGGTTGCAACCTCTGTGAGAATAAGAGCAGACTTCTCATTTTTTCCCCAGTTTTTTAATGAAGGTTTGATCGCCACCACCTTCAAGAGCCTTGTGAAATGATTATGGAACATTTCATGACTTGTCGATATGAAAACCAGGCTCTGAACCTGAAAGAGGAGCACGAGTAAAAATAGGAAAGTCGCCGGCAACTGCAGTGGCATAGGAACGCATGGTCGAGGCCATCTGAAGAGATGCTAGGCGAGCTACAAGGCGAGCAGATCTTCTGTCGGGCCGGGCGACTGAGGCAATGTCGATTCTATCGGGCAGGGTGAAGGCATCGTCGAGTACAGAAGACAACGTGAACTGCTATCCAGGAAATGCCGTCGAGTGCAGGTGAGGAGAGACGAAGCGCAGGAGTAGGCGAAAAGACGAAATGACGAAATGACGAAATGACGAAATGACGAAACGACGAAACGACGAAACGACGAAACGCAAAACCCTTTGTCGTCGAAGCAGACAATCGCAGGGCTTGCGGAACGACGAACGACGGAATGAAGAAACGACGAAACGCAAAACCCTTTGTCGTCGAAGCAGACAATCGCAGGGCTTGCGGAACGACGGGAAGACGAAAAATATCGTGAAACCCTTCTTCGTCGGGCACGAGGAAGCCGGTGGATTGAAGCG